CTTTGAGCTCGAAGAAAACAGTTATACTTCACTTGAAAACACTCCATAAAAAGAATTTAGGACATATCGTACACTTCTTATCTGATGCTATTAATTCAAACACTTCTGGACCCTGTTTTCATTCTCACTTATTTTGAACATTTTTCATTCTTGCCTTCCTTTTTATGGCCCTATCACTTTTATTACACGACAGTTCTGTCATATTATCACACATATACTTTTAGAAATGACAAAGACACAGACGGAAGAAAATAATTGGTTTGATGAAAACGCAGCTCATATATACGATATTTATGCTCGCCGCATAGCATGCGGCCAAACGCGGCAAGTGTGCGCGGTCCGGAAATTATCAAACACTGTAAATGTTTTGAAAAATTACACTTTTAGTGTAACCCCATTGAAGAGATCCACCACCTTTTGCCTTTCTGAACTTAGAGAAGAGTTTCTGTGCAAATAGACAACAAAAGCTTTGATTTTATGAAGCTAGAAAAGATTCGGAAAGAAAAAAACGAACACTTTTATCCGTAGGTCTAAACCAGCCAGTCGGCAGTCGTCCAGCCATGCTTGCATACTGCGGTCGCATTGCGTCGTCTTGAGACATTTCGCTTTCAAACGTTGCAGCGGCCATACTCTTAAAATATGGAGTATCATATATTGGGAAAAAAGAATCTCAGAAGTGAGTTTTATCAATCTCGCAGCTCAAATATTCCTGGCAATGGAGCTAAGGGCATGCGGTGAGCAAGCCTTAGCCCGCGGGGTAAAGTTTTGCACAAGTTTTCTCCTGCAGCTATCAGAACGAACCCACAAAAACCTATAACATATTACCTTGTCCATTTGTGATTTGTAAAAGAGGGAAGGAACTGAAGTTTTTAGCTGTGAGAAATTCTAGTTAATCATCAAAGTAATTTATTAAATTGCATAAATTTTACCATCATTCACACTGTGATGTGTACGCAGAATTATGTGAAATTAATGGATCTTGCAAGAGGTATATGCGGCTTCAAACCCAAACCATACCATAACAAGAGATTATTCAGATACAGTGCACTGTAGGCAGGAGGCGGTAGTTGATCGCGTGGGGAGAGGGAGGGTCATGAAGGGCCACATGAACTGGAAGAAAACAATTCGCGCGTAGATATGCCAATAAAAAGGGTTCATGATTCGACTTTTTGAGGGCCAAGTGTTCCGTTTCAACGTGCCCTAGTGGCTTGATGGGTAGAAGCTATAATGACCCGTAGGAAGAACGGCCTAGGCTGTGTATATAAAAGATAGCCTTAGTGGCTTGATGAAGATGCCTCAGAGGCTAGATAGAGGGAGCCCCAGTAGCGACTTCAGGGATTGATGTAGAGCCTTAACGGCTCGCGTAAGGAAGCATCAGTAGCACAGTAGAAGAAGCCAGTGTGGCTCAACGTTGGGACAAGGTCAAGCTGTGCACCCGCTCCATGGACATACGCTTCCTGGTCGCCTCTCGAGTTCGTCGGACACGATGCGCCTCCAAGTCTCCATCTTACAAACAAACTCTCTGATTGTTTCCATTTGTTGATTTTGTTTCTTTGATAAACATTCCTTTCTTCCACACGCACAGTACAAGGTTCACTCCATTCGTGTCGACCGAATCTACCTAACTTACAACAGTTTTCAATCTGTTAACAATGCAGACCCGCCATGAATCCCACAAAATATCGAAACTAGCAAACGCTACATTTTCGCAAAAGTATTCAAACTTTGATTAGAGAGATTGTCTCCGTGAACGTGGAAGCGCTAAAAAGCGGAAAGTGCACTTCTTATCATACTTTAGTCTAGAAACTTGAAACTTGTGGAATTATAAAAATTCCACACATGCACAACCCTTTGAGTGCATATGTGGAATTTTTATATTTGATTTTTGTGTGCATCTACAATAATCTACAAAATAATCATCAGCATCATAGATCCAGTGGTGGAAGTATATAGGCTATCTAAGAGACTGTAGAAGTGGTAAAGTGGGCTAATAGAAGCGATATCAAGCGAGCGCTTGATAAGCACTGACATCAAATGAATGCCCAAAATTGGCTTGTACTTTCAGTCAGGTGCTCGAACAAAGGGATGTGAGTCGTTGAAACCAGTAAGAGACTTTTTTGCAGCGAGAAATTTTTCACTGTGTGAGCCCTACGTCCACACCTTATCACGAGCAGACCCGGGGTTCCTGTAGCGAAATGGCTGCGAGGACCAAAAAGGCCGCTTCCTGGCAAAGCGACCCCCACCCAAACAAGTAGCGAGTGGCGTATGCGGCGAATGAGAGATGAAAGGTGACAAAAAGAGAGCTAGAGCATTAAGAAGACGACCTGAGATCGATCAATTTGAGCATTACTTGACATTATATTATATATATATATCATATCATATCATATATATCAAGCGCTTACGGCTGAGCATTACTTGAACATTACAACATTTCAACGAACATGGATCATTGAAGTGTATAAAAGTCATTAATGCTTATGGTAACCCTCCTCGAGATGGCAGAGGTGGTGACAGATGACGCCATACTCTGAAGATGGTTAAGGTAGAGAACGGGGGCCTGCCTCAGTTTATGTCGAGACATATCAGGAAGAATATTCTGTTGTGAAAATTCCCAACGGCAGCACCCTGTGCAAAGAACATTTGATGATGTGAAATGGCCAAAGTGGCTCTTCCCCTCCACCTACTCCCCCCTTGTATGAATAAGCATGTCATATTATAAGGCCAAATTGACCAGAAGGCTTTCCCTTGTGAAGAAAAAGGTGGCAGATGCCCAGAACAACACCAGCGATCATAACTTTCGAAGAAGAGCACAAATAACGGAGAAATTTTTGGCTTTGAAAGTTAAAGAAAGGCAAACTTCACACAATCGCACGGACACATAGCAGCGAGAATGATGCTTGTTTTTGGATATCGGCAAGCGGGCCTATCTTCACAGCAGTGAACGAACGTCCAAAAAGCAGACAAGCAGTCACGCTTCGATAAATATAGAAAACCTTCATTGGCGCAAAGTGTAGTGATTAAAATTGAAAGTTTTAAGTGGACTATAAACACCAAACGTGCGGTAACCAAAATGATACTGATGTAGAAAATGAACACGCCCTTCCAATCGTCAATCGAGCTGTCACACGTTATCTTAGCAAAGGAAAAAACTGCTATGCGTGTGACACGGATAGTGATTTAAGAAATGCTATAGGGTGCACTGATTCGTCACATACACTCAGCATTTGAGATAGTAAACGCACGAACCCACCTGTAATTTCTCCTTCATGGCTGTGAGCGCTTGCAGGAAAAATTCATAATTTTGGATAATGTATGTCATGTCATTACTGACTACAATAAAGGAGTACAAACGTAGAAAACCACGAGCTTTAGAATCTCGCAACCTAAAAACGTATATGAATCTTATCAAAATCGATCACAAACAAGAAACGAAGTGAAGATAAAGCGAACACTACCTAAACGTGAGGGAAAAACAATAGCCGTTATCGGCATCGCCAAAAAATACAGAGCCGTCAACGTCATTTCCTCTACCCTCATCCATGTCGTCTGCTGCTAGGCCATCCAACCGTATTGGATTTACACGTATAGCTAAATTATGCGCACAGGTTTATAAAGGGATCTACAATAACTATGCACAGCATCCTCGTCTCGCAAAATGAACCGTGAGCAATCAAAAACCAACTCCATGAAAAAAAAACGATGCAGAATTCTCTCACCAGAAGTGACCGCGTGAACTTGTCTCAAAGGAGATGAAGTTCCTTTGCATGGCGCAGAAATTTCGCAGCTTAATGAGCGCAGGCAAGCATTTCGAACGCGTTCATATACCCGCTCCTTCAACGGTATCTGAAATAAGAATTTCGAATCCTGTGAAAATATTAACAATAACACATTGATAACAGACGGCACGCATGTTTAGATTCTGCGCCCTGCGGATAGTATGAAACACCTACACTACAAGTACGCCGTCAATTTCATTTTTTTCCGCGCGCGACCACTATCCAAGTTTTTTTTTTGTTTTTTCGAAGTGAGCGTTTCCACAGAAGCAATCAAGACAGAAATGCTTTTGAAACTTAATGGAGCAAAAATATATTGATTTGGTTTTTCACTGCAGATATACCCTTTTGATTTAGATTCTGAAATATTACCCCTGGATAACCTAACGCAGTCGTAACTAATGTTAACTAACTAAAGAGGTACTGTTAACAGTAAGCCACCGAAATCAATGGTAGAATTAGTTCTGCCACCATAATAAAGACTTGCATGATAAATCTGATCACTGCAAAATTCTATACAAAGCACCCGTCAAAAACTAGTTTCTGAGAAGAACGCGAACGGTGATACATTGATCTTATGCACCTCCTCATTCGGCTTATGATCGAGAGATCTGCCGAGTGACGCTACGAAAAAAAGAATAGCTGGTTTGACTGCAATTTCACATTGACACATGCAAACTACTAAAAAGCAAAACGTAATGAAGCTAACCTGTGTGCTGATGTAGCTAGTTTTATTCTCATGGTCGTTTGAAAGCAAACATGGCTGATTTATATTTCCAAAGGATGTACAAGCATTACACCTGAATTTGAATTCAATTGGAAAATATCAAAAAAAAAAATGAAGACGAACCTCCACAGAAGATGTAAACACAAATAAAAGATTTAACCAACAGCGAATCTAACCTTTCTTCGGGATCTTCCAAAATTTCTGGAGTGCAATCTCCATAATAAATAGGACTGTCGTGTTCGCTCTCGGCTACCGAAGAGATCTGAAATTGCAGTTTCTATTCAAGCTAATGAAGTATACCGAAAACATTAACAGCAAATTTTATCGTAAGGGAACCACTGCTGAAGAGCAAAAAAAATTGAAGGAAGATTTAGGCAAAAAAGCACGATCAACGAATTACGAAGGCCCCAGCTTCTTTTCATTCTTAGAGTGTGTTTCTACTTCCTCTTGCAGATGTACTTGTGTTTGCACTTTTGTCCTCATGACCGAAGCATTTTCTCCTTATCATTTGACTTCTAAATCCGTTCCAAAGCTAACCGATAAGATAACAGAAGTCACATAAAGTAGTTAAAAGCTGGAAAAAGAATTAAAAGTAACCGCAATTCTACGAAAGATTTTCTAAAAGAAGAAAAAACCAATTCTCCACTCGTTTCAACTCGTTTGACCTTTGATAAAAAAAAGACGGAAATCAGCAAAAAATATTCAGTAATGATGTGCCGTTGAAAGAACCGCGTTTGTAAAAAGGGGATTCCTCGACGAGGACTCAAATGAGCACTCCCAAATCGTGAAATAGAGTGCTTCATGTCCAATTAGGAGATAACGACAAATTCGAAACTATCTCAGAAATCTACGAGAGATGGCTCTGACGAGTGAATTCATCGTCATTTGTCAGACCTTTGAAATGGTTGTCAAATCTATTACCATTCGTTCATAGTTACGTAATGTGAATACTGTTTTAACTATTGTACACCTTTTCTTTGTGACCTGAGCATGGTGAAGTCTTTTTTGTAAACAAAATGTATATCTTCTAAAAAGTAGGAAAAAAGAACTGCAAAAGCCAATCATCTGTTTAGAACCAACGCCAACAAAAAAGTAGGTCTACTCCACTTAGATAGGGGCATGATAATGCAGTTTTCCAGAAAGCTAGGGTAACTCCGAGCCAGGGGGAGTGTAGCCAGTCCACGGGGGGTGGGGGTGAGGGCAGTCACTTGACATGCGTGAAAAGCTGGAATGTTCGAGTTCACACTAGTTCGCCGAGAAACTGCATCATGATGCCCCCTACCCCTCGCTGGAATAGACCCAAAAGGGGCCTCAACATTTAACAAGGAAGAAATAAAATATAATCACAAAACATTTCAAAAAGCTAAAACCAATGGATGGAGAAAGACACGTTCATGGTCTCCCTAGCCGACCTGCACAGTATTAGATGCTTGACCATTTCATCAAAAAAAGGCTACACGCGCCTTTGCTCTTCATTCCTACATTCATGCGATAAATTGCAGAGTAAGCAGCGCAGGGGAATATTTTTCGCCGATTTCCTTATATTCCGATTCAGCGTTAAGTAATGAAGAGCCTAAGTTTTGGAGGGTATCTTAAAAACAAAAATATAAAAAAGGTAAAAAAAAAACTGCCAACCAAAAATATGAAGATAAACTTATGAGCAAACAACAATATCTTTGAAAGAACCAACCTGACAACCTGCGTTTGACAAGGACATTGAACTAGATGAAGCCGACGGTACGCTGCGCATCGGCTGGGTGATCATCATCACCCTGGGGCCGTGATTTTCGCAAAAATGACAGAGCGCGATCACCGCTTGCATGACATTTGATCCGGGTCGCAATCTGAAAGTCATAAAATACCGATGCTACGTGCGTTCAACGAATGCGTTCATGTATAACTGACAGAAACAAACTCGGATCAAAGCAAATTACAGTCACCGAGAAGAGAGTGAGACAGAGACTACAACAGAAAAAAATGCGAAGCAAGCTCAGGTGAAGCTAGGATGAACAATGAAAGCTGGATATTCTTAGTGTATGTACCAGATCCATGAACGTGTCACGCGATTGCACAAAACGGACAAGGGTTCATGTAGGACCACCGGGAGCGCAGCGCCGAAATCGGCCTAATTCGAAAGGCATTTGCGTTCACACGCACTCTCTTCAGTCGCCCCGTACGTCACGTGCACCGCTGGCGCATACGGCGTGCATGTGCACGCACCTGCCTCTTTGACGGCACGCTCGAGTCCGCCATGCTCAAGGCTCCACCGTCACATCATCTTTCCAACATCTTGTCCATGACCCCCCAAAAAAGTCAGCAACCAATTTGATCCGAAATTCCACGGATGCACTTGCGCGACCGGTTTCATGCCACACGCGGCCCTCCGCTCTCGTGCAGCGACGTCGCGCGCGGCGAACGAGTTCGTTGTTGGATTGGAGCACGTCGAGCATTGTGGTTGCAGCGAGCGACGGACGTCACGTTTGGTTGGTCTCAAAAATTTTTAGGGTCTATTCCAGTTAGGAGAGGCATCATCGGCGAACTAGTGTGAACTCGAACATTCCAGCTTTTCACGCATGTCAAGTGACTGCCCTCACCCCACCCCCGTAGACTGGCTACACTCCCCTGGCTCGGAGTTACCCTAGCTTTCTGGGAAACTGCATCATGATTTTACGACCCAATTTTTACGACCCCCATGAACTGTCACTCCGCACGACCCCCCCCCAGTGATTGAAGTGTCGACAGGGCTGACGCTGTGATCTGTAATATCAGTCCAGCAGCGACCTAACCCGATGTCCGCGATGCCTTTATCCAATATATGCAAATCAGACCCGATTCGAATGCTAATGGCGCAATGATATGACGGGTATCAATCGTAAACGATTCGTACAGCGTTAGAAACCCGTCATGCGATCCTCAGACTTGTCTGAGGGATGCTGCTTCACAGGGTGAAAGGGAACCTTTTTTCACCGATTTCGCAGGCGAACCTTATTTGGCTCGCCAGAAGCCAGGTCCCTGGAGGTTCCGTAGCGAGGAATGTTTCGCGTCGAACCCGAGAAATGTTTCGCGTGTGAAACGTGAAAACACGTCCAAGGACTGGACGATCGATACGTATCTAAACGCTGTGCGATCGTTGCGATCGGACAAGCTGACCGTGAATGCGCCTAAACCCTACCCGGGGAAAAATATGGGCGAGTCTGAGACGTGTTTCCGCGCACCGTTTGAATTTGAGGCTCACTTCGTTCAGTTCATTGTTGGCGCAGGCTTCAAGATGGCTTGCTCGTCGTCATAATAACAATAGCCACTGAACCCCCACCTAAGAGTAACAGAAAGCAGTGGGAGTTTCATGTGCACGTCTTGTAAATTTTGGTAATAAAGCGGATTTAGGCAATCTACCAAAACTCGCCATTTTTATAGTGCAAGAGTTTTAGTTTTTCCCTGGCTGGTTCTCTTCTGTAATTTTACCATCTACTATAAGAGGGCCCGTGGCTGACGTAAGAGCCGCCACCAACAACAGGCGCACCCTGCCAAATGGGAAACGCAGGAAGTACACTTAATATTCTTTTGAGCTATTCTTCGGCGCAAAGAAGCCGACTAACTGAAACGCTCCATGGCCCTCTCGAAGCGTTTCCTAACACAATAAAATCTGGCCCCTCTCAGCCAATTGCTGACAGGTTTAGGGATTCGTTCCCAAATGTTCTCACTTGTCAGTTTTTCCATTTCTTCTCACCTCCTGATGCCTTTTAGCACACTCATCAACTATTGAAATGGAAATGACTACTTTGGGCACAGAATTTTGGCTTACAGGCAAATAGTAAGCGCCGTGAATGAAGTGCTCAAATTCCAAATGGCGCGTGCTACAACTCGTCGAGAGTAATTCCCTGTGTATTTTACGTCAGTGACACTCGGCTTCGACTGTGGTTCAGTAGATAGAAGGCGACTTTTTCGCGTTCCCGAACACCGCGAAGCGTAATTTTCCGCATCAGGGGCGGTATTCAATCCTTCCCCCAGGGGGATATATCCCCCTACTCTGATTCAATCCTCTGGGGGGACAAAAAAGGGTTGCGTCATAGGACCTAGCATACCTCTGTGTTTCTACCTGCCAGACAGTTAGAGCAGCGCGACCCCTCAGGGGAAAGAGTGCTTCATCAGTGGAGGGTAGTAGCGCTGCTCTAACTGTCTGGCAGGTAGAAACACAGAGGTATGCTAGGTCCTATGACGCAACCCTTTTTTGTCCCCCCAGAGGATTGAATCAGAGTAGGGGGATACCTTCCCTCTGGGGCGTGTCCTGCCATTATGGCGAGAGCACAAGACGATCAGAGATGGCGCCAGCCCCAAGGGGGCGAGTGAGACAAGATTATAAGTTCAGGAACATAGGGTGTATACCGTAACCTTCTCGACGTTGCACTGGGGCGCGCATTCTCACGTGTCATCGATTTTCTCGTCTTCTCTGCACCCTCTCAACGAAGAGAGAATGCGTCGAGCAGGCCCGCGCAGAGTACTATGCGCCGTTTATGTAGAAGGTGGAGGACACAACGCGAGCGGTTGTCGCCACACGTCGGATGGGGCGGCACCCCGGGGATCACCTCCCTGTGCTCGCGCGCCGCAGCGCGCAGCGTCCAGCCTCGCCGCGCAAGCGGCGAGGCGAATGCTGCGACGGTGCTTGGCCTCGTCGCGCAAGCGGTGCACACCCGGACCGCAACGGCGCTCGGCTTTCGTTCGGGTGTTCTGGTACAGGGTCAACCCTATCGTTGTTACTTATTCGAAAATTTTTTACGACCCCCCTCCCCCAAGGTGGATTTGGTACGACCCCCCTTCCGACACCTCGATCACCATATTCCTCTCTATAACACTAACTTCCACTACCACTCAACCCTCAAAACTCCGCCCACTTTTTCCTCCAAAAATGCCGTCGAGCGGGGGGGTATATAGTCCCTCTGAAACAGTAAAAATTTTCCCATAATTTCCCACAATCCCCTAAATTTTCCACCAATTTGCCCAATTTCTCCCTATAATCTCACTGTTTCCTTTTCTAGGGGGGGTATATACGCCGGCTGAAACGGCAAATTTTTATCTTGCGCGCCCTCTACTCGCACAACCTACTACCCACGGAATCTCGTTCTCCTCCGTAATAACTTCGTGGTACGACCCCCGCCTTCCTCAGAACTCAACCCAGTAACGACCCCCCTTTGTTACTCGAACAACCGTACGCTGACGCGGGTGTTCGGCCCCATCGCGCAAGCGGCGAGCCGGACGCTGCGACGGTGTTCGGCTTCGTCGCGCAAGCGGCGAGGCCAACGCTGCGACGGTGTTCGGCTTCGTCGCGCAAGCGGCGAGGCGAACGCTGCGACGTCGCTCCATTTTTGGGTTCGCTGCCCCGAACAGCAGGGGCGGCGTCGTTGACCGCTCACACTAGTGCTGGCATTGTGCACTGGAAAGCCTGCAACCGCGCTCTGACGCAAACGTGGGTTACGGTATACATCCTATGTTCCTTAACTTATAATCTTGTGGAGGTGAGAGCCTTAGGACTAAGCCTTGTAAGGGGGAGGGAATCCGAGGTGGGTGAGCCAGTTGCATTGTGGCAAAAGTTTGAATGTGTGAGATCGCAGTGGTGATCAGCCGCTGATAAGATGAGAGAGCGCAGACGAAAGCGTCGAGTGAGGCAGCTTAAAGGGCCGAGTTCAAGTAGTCCGTCGACCTATTGCGAATCAGGCGAGTTCGATATTTTACCCACTGGGGAATGATTGAGTACGCTCATGATCAGCGGTCGACCCTGAGTTTCTGCAGCGAGAAACTGTTCGGGTGCAAACCAAAAACAAAAGTCGCTTCTATCCTACTGAACCGCAATCGACTGTTGCAACACGATGCTGTGTTCACCCACAAGCAATCTCTTTAATTTGCTCATTACTCGATCATAGGCTTTCGTTAGGCATCCTTCAGGAGCCGCTGCCTTTTATTCGTTTGCGCTTTGCCCTTTGGCAGCAAAGAATATGACAAAAAGTCCAAGTAACTAATCAGTAGCCGCATACAAGGTGGCACGCCTCGTCATCACTTCAGGACGAGTTTTCCGCTGCTATCTAGTTTTGCGCCAGCACAAGGATTTGCACCGAGTTTGAGCTTGTCTTTTCGATTCTGTTTTTTATACAGTTTGATGTGCTCGTTCGATTAATATCAGGAATTTTTATCCGGAATGTACTTGTTCCATGACTGTTAAGGGAAGTTCGTAATGGTTCCGTTTCTTAATTTCGATTTAGATCAACCTTTACAATGGCAGAAGAAGATGAAGGAATGGAAGCGTTCGATTTTGATGAGCGAGATCTTGAATTTGCATTGAATCCTGGTCGACGTCATTACCAAACCAAGAACCAGGCAACATATGGTGGGGTGAGACCACCTCTATTGAATATTTAGGTTAACTCGTTTGTCGAGTGACAATTTCGTCGTTGTTGAGGTAGAATCAATATGCGACGCATTGCTTTGCAGTGGTATGACAATTGTTGAATGGGGCTGGTATCGATTAGGTGGGCATGAGATATAGTCTGAAAAGTTACCCTGCAGTGTGGTTTAGTGTGTGAAAGAAAAACATGGAGGTGGATCAAGCTGTGTTATCCGCCACAGTTCCCTTACTGTGGTAGTGTGAGACAACTCATGGAGGGAAAGAGTAGCATTCTCCATAGTTCGCTTGGTTTTGAGAACCTCCTGTCAGTTCGAATCGGTTTCTGTTTAGGTATATGGGCGGATCGGGAGAGCGATGAGGACGAGGCATACGATAGGCCGTCATTTGGGTAATTGTATTTATGCTCTTTTTCTGGAATGTGATTTACACGACAATTGCAGGAAAAAGGCAAGGAAGGATTACTCGGCTCCAATCAATTTTATAAGTGGAGGTATAAAGCAAGGAAGCAGTTTGGATCCCTCTGATAAGGTAACTAAGCAGTTGCTGCCTGCATTGCTCCGTACTTACGGCTTTTCATTGACGAGTCCAATCTTTTGAGCATTCCAGTTTCAGTTGAAAGAGAACGTGCGAGATGATACTCCTATAGAAATAATATCGAAGAGGGAACGAAAGAAGCAGATGTCTGCTGGCGCCAATGTTTTTGCTGGTACGAAGGACGACAGCCTTTTCTTTACATATGTTGCTCTCATTTCGTGAGCACATTTCCTTCTAGAGATGATAGCCTTAGACCTTCTCACGGTTCCTAAATTTCCATCTCTCCTCTTATTGCAAGGTACTGGGTTATGAGCAATACGCTTCGCTCCAGGCAGGAAACGAACCTGCACCTTTCGCTTTGGGGTATGGGTTCACTTCACGCTTAGAGCGAAGTGTTTTGCTCAACTCAGCATCCTTTTGATAACCTGTATGTACAAATTATTAACAGGCCTGCTGGCAAAAAAGTAGAGTTTGCAATTCCAAATAAGTCGACAATTGAACTTCTATTGAGGGATGGTTAATAAATTTGGGCATGGTTAGCACATGAAACCGCTAACGCTACGAAATGGCAGCTCGGTTCATTCCTTGCTTTCTTCTTGTTCTCATGACCATGTAAAAAAAAGAGTATCATAAGTAAATGCAAGCGTATACGAATAGAAAAATGTTTTTTTTTTTGGCATAACTACGTCAAAAATACTTTTGACATTCATCACGGAGGAAATAGTAAAATTTTCTTTTCATGAACATTATCCGTTATTTTGATCGGATTTTCACCATTTACCCCGAGTAGGTAGCTTCTGTGCATTGGATGTTGCTCAAATGCTTTTCTTCGCTGATGTTTTGCGCAGTTGTCATTCAAAATTTACGGGTGTGAAGTCCGTGCGCTCGCGTAAATCGCGCCTGTCCCACGTCGCCACTGCCCTGAACGTGTCAGTGATCATATCTCGAAAAAGGATTATCGATTGGCTGTTTGTAAGACACAAAAATCATGAGGATTCTTGAAATGACCTCATTCGGTAGCGATACTGGGCTAAGGTGGCGGTACTTCAACTTGGGTTCCGTTGTGTACCCTGGCACGCCTCAATTACGATAGAGCGCAGTGCACGATTGAGGAACGATGGGGGAAAACCCTTCATCGTAAACGATCGCAAGCAGATATGCAAGCATCTTTAACTGGAACTCCGGTTTATACAAGGCCCAAAGTTCGAAACTACAGTCGATAATGCATTTGATGTTGCCTTTTAAGTGTGCGCCATTATATAGTAGCTATGCTGTAATATTTTAATTTTTTTACTTCCATAGCATAATACAGTATCGTCGAATCAATTGTCGCTTAAGGTATTCGAACATCAGCGGTAACAGGTGCAATCGATCCCAATGCCCCAAGCGACTGGACTAAGTTTGGAAAGGGTGATGTGATCAAAAATATAATGAAGGTAAGTACGTTCAAGTTATGTCGCGTAGTACTTCGGTATGACGACACTCTCTAAAGAGGAAAATGGTAGGCTCTTGTTCACTTAGAATTTTTTAGTCCATGGGTTACAAGGAAGGAGAAGGTCTTGGAGCATCACGACAAGGTATTGTAGAACCAGTGCAGGCAACGGTTCCGGAAAGGCCGTGCTGCAGTTGGTGCTTATGGAAAGGAGGCTGTTGGTCCAAAGTTTGGAGGTTCGTTTTAACATCGCCTGTTACTCCCAGCTTCTTTCATACTGGTAATGTTTGTAGAAACTGCTGCCGAAGCGCAACGCCGCCTCAGTGAACAAAAGCAGGATGCTAAAGTGGACGACCTATCAACCCCACAGCTGAAAAATGCTTGGAAGAAAGCCGCCAAGGTAAAGGAGTTGTTTTTCAAGGAAGCGCTTGTCATCGTCGAATCTTCCATGCTCACATATGTGAAAAGTATCACACACGATGTTCAGGTCAAAACTCGCTATAAAACCATAGATGAGGTCATCGAAGAAGGAGGGTCAATTGGATTTCGATCATCTGTCAAAACCGGTGTGAAAGTAATCGACATGACAGGTCCAGAGCAGCGTGTATATAGTGGATATGACTCATTTTCTATGAAAAGCAGGTAGATTTTTGAATCATCCAAAGGCTATGCGAGCAGGATTAACAATCTTTTGGTCAGGTACCAAGGGTGTTTGCGATTGGGGATTGATTCGACGATTATAATAGTGAAATTTTATGATAGAAGCGTGAAATACAGGAAATTAGAGGAGGTTATCGTGGGACATTATACCTACTCTGGACTCGACGGTCGCCTGTTCTCAAAAAAAAATGTGGGCGGAGGTGGGCTGTGCCTACTGGTCTCAGAATGAATTATTATACAAACCGGCCATGGTGATGACGAGCGTGGTGCGGGGTGATACTGGTGTATTGGGAATTCCCTAAGACTGATGGTGTAGGGGTCGTGGGCAGGGTCAACCCTGCGTTGCGCAAAGAACAACGAGGGGGTCGTATTCAGCCGACCGAAAAGGGAGGGGGTCGTATCCACAAACGGGCTGCAAGACGGCTTGAAAAGTGCAGTGTCCGGGAGTGCACTTTCAGCCTCTAATGTTCTCCAGGAGCTCTGCACGCTGTCGGAGAGTCACACAGACATGAGCTCCATGGGAGCATTAAAGCATGCAGAGCACTATAAGTCTCACCATCAGCTTATTATCCTTAAGCGACGCTATCCGGACTGCGCTTTTGCTCCGCGGCATAGATCAAGAGTACAATAGACAATAGCCAAAAACTTTGTTACAGTGTAGTGCAAAAACATGGTCTGTCTTCGATGATGAAACATTCCTGAAATCCCGAGGAGAACAAAGTGTAGAGCAGTTCATGGGAAAGTGAAACAAGAGTGCCATATAACAGCACAATACAACTCAATCAGGATACTAACACCTTCTTCAGGAAAACAGAAGACTTTCAAATGCGAGTGCGAATTCTGCCCACAGATAGGTGCACGGCGTATACCCGAGCAGGCGTTTTCCATAAAAACGCCTCCTCTGTCAGCGGCCGTAAGCAGACAAACTTTCTGAAGAGAGTTTTGATGCTTTCAAATAAAATCTAAGCGAAACAAAGTGTAGCGAATTTGCTGAATTGAGTTCTAGAGACGCCGTAGGAAAATTGAGGCAGAAGAAGGAATTTCAGGGAAATTTCACAGTTGTTATGAAGTACTCTTCGAGTGGATTCCAACAATCTTTACCGCTTCTCATCACATTAATTTAAAGGAAGTTATGGGCCTTTGAAGACTGCATAGTCGCGGTCCAGGAAAATGGCTTGAAAAAAATCAAGGTGGAATTGACGGAACAACGGGACTATTTTTTGAGCGAGTGATTATTTCAAGAAGTTTTAGCACTTATTCGAAAGCTCTAATCCTCTAGTTTCTAATTAGCCTTAGACATCTGCAAAATGTTGAGTATGAAGAAAGTTATTAACGTTTGAATGTCGAAAACTCGCGCCTTCTCAAAAATCGGACCCCAAACCACCCAAGAACGGAACAACGGAACTATTTTTTGAAAAAATGATCGCTGGAAAATTTTCAGGTGCTTGTTCGAAAGCTCTAATCTTCTAGTTTTTAATTAACCTTAGACATTTGCAAAAAGTTGATTATGAAGAAAGTTATGAATGTTTGAATGTCAAAAACTCGCGTGTGCACAGAAAACGGAACAACGGGACGATTTTTTGAAATATTGAACATCCACAACATTTCAAATACTCCTCAGGAAGAAAACTATTTATATTTTCAAAATTTTGGTGTCCGATTTCATGAAACAGCTTCTGAAAGAAAATATAACCTTCTGAATGGAGGGGTTTGGATTGCAATGTAATTGCTACAAGGTTTAGTTTTTCAGATTATAAGGTAAGGAAAGTTGAGAGATCGAAAAAATCCTGGTGGGTTTCTGAAAGTAGAAATCTTTACGATTAAAATGATGTATTGGTTTACGCAAAAATTTGAAATTCCTTATTTAATGAATAAAACTTCATTTGCCTCGATTTCCTCCTCTGAGCGAGACAGAGCGCGCGGATTGACCACGGTCCACCACTTCTCCATGTTGGTGACTGCCATCATTGATGAGCATTGATGAGCATTAAATTATGTGAAAGACATGATAGTTAATATGGGGGGTCGTACCGATACCCCCGAAAAGGAAGGGGGTCGTAAAAATTTGGGAATTTGCGCAACGCAGGGTTGACCCTGGTGAAGGCTTCCTGAGGGGGCGGGGGGGGAGTATGGTGATTTCTGATACTTTTTTCCCTAGAGTCGTGTGACGCTACTGAGGTGGCTCAACTCCTTTTCTTGTAATTTGCGGAGACTATTCTAGGTTCTTGATTTTCAAACAAGCATTGATATCATAGCCACGCGGAGTGTTCGGATCTGTTGTTGTTGGAAGTGCGCGTCATACCCATCACAGCATCAAACGTCAGCATTATTCTTTTTTCAATTCTGTAATAGATGGCGCGCTAATTTCTTCTATAAATTATTGTATGGCTTCTCATATATTTGAGTGGATATGATAACGATAGTGCTACAAGTTTCTGGGTTAATTAAATTCTTGGTCTCTTAGTAAGATTGTGGGTCTGTTTCTTCATTTCATTTGTGATTTGTCCACCATCAGTCCTTCCCTGGTTCTCCGTTGCTAGTGAGGTGGGTATATTTGTATAGTTTGCTTGATTTGATCAGATCCGAAATTTGGCCTGGCCAATGGGGTGATAAACACAGTGGTATCAGTAAATAAATGAGCTGCTATCTAGTTTTTGCTGATCTAGGTTGTATAGACTGTCAAACTACAATTTCAGAGCCAGTTTCAACGATATAAGTGACCGCGATGTGTTCGATGTTCCCGAATTGATGCATAATCTGAATCTTCTGGTTGATCTCACGGAAGAAAATATTCGAAGAAATGACAGTCAACTGAAATCGATTAAGGTTTTTTTTATATTTGTTACTGCTGCAATAATGACCACAAAGATAGTTCAGAACCCTTGAAGGTCTCGAAACTTCGAAGCGTTGTCAGTTTGTAATTTTCGCGAATGTAATTGTAGAGCTTTCATGCTGTTGCCAATATAGAAAAAGAACATCAGTCGTTATTTTCGAAATTAATTTATTTTGAGGATCGAACTACTGCGCTGGGATATGATCTTGAGCAAGCCAAGCTCATTCTGGAAAGTGAATCAAAGGAGTACGAGAGAATCAAGGAAGTTTTCGATTTGATAGAAAAGTAGGTTAACTGCAGTTGATTTTCACATTTAGACCTACATATTGCTCAATAGTGGAATACATTTACACTTCCACACTTGTTAAATTTAAGGTTCTCGACGCGCAAGGGCGATGATCTACCTTCAATAAATGAGTGTCAGCAACTTTTTGTGAAGTTACGGTCCGAGTATAAAGAGGAGTATCAATTATTCGACATTGAAGCACTTGCAGTCCCTCTCGTACTGCCGCAGGTTCTTGATTTAGATTTTGGAGTTCTTGTGAGAATAATCTTCATTGTCAGATTTTTAGATTGTCGATTATTTTTCCAAGTGGAAACCGCTCGACCCGGAGCACCTAATTTATGGCGTGGATTTGATGAAAGAATGGAGAGACATTTTAGTAGATAAAGAAAGCACCTCAATGTTTACAGGTCCGATTGAATTTTTTTTACCCGGGACTTTCTTGGTAGCTTGACGTCCATTTCGTACGGTGTTCAGATCGACTAACTGCATATGATCGACTTTTGTGGGATGGTTGGCTCCCATCATTGCGACGCGCTTCTTTAACTTGGGATCCACGGGATCACATGGAACCAATGTTACGTGTGATTGAGATGTGGCTGCCTGTTCTACCTGGTTGGATGAAGGAAAACATATTGGAACAGGTATGGCGCATTTTGGAAAATTTCGTCGTTATTTGTGTTATCTATAGCACGTTGAAAACAAAAATGCGTATAAAAGGTAAAAGTCTGTCTCCCACGAAGCACATCAGACAACACTATGTTCATCAAGAGACGGGTAAACAGAAGTCTCCGATAGTTACTGTAATTAAAAGCAGTGATCACGATGGCTAAGTTGGTATCATGAAGGCAGCAAATCTACCAGTTTTACCTAGTTCTCACTGCTTTCGCAAATCTTTCACCAAATTGGTCAAACAGCCCGTCCAAATAGAGTTCTTAACGACTCTGCTCCCACTGTGGTACCCTTGCTCAAGCCGACGTGCGACCTCCTCGCTCAAATGGTGTGAACGGACAGTTGCCCCTGCTGGAGGGTGGTGGACTAGACCCTTCAGCTCGCTAAGTGGGGGGGGGGGGGGGACTAATTTTTACATTCTCCCGCCACTGCGTTCAATGCCGTCATCAAGGACCACTGCCGCCAGTCCTCAAACCATCGTGACCACTGCCTTTAATAGTGGTAA